AATTCCCCAGCCAGGATGCTGGCTGGGGAATTCTGGGAGTTGAAGTCCACCTATCTTAAAGTTGCCAAGGTAGAGAAACACTTCTCTACATCATCTATCCACATGCCAACAAGAAGACCAAAAAAGCAATTCTAAGCATTAAACTTCAACAAACTGCTGAGAGATGGAACGGGATAAATGCACAGGTTGGAGGAATCACGGGGCGCCACAGCACCCCCACCGCTCAGCAATCTGCCATCCGAATCTTGAGAAACAGCACTCTTAGAGGAGCAAAACTGTCCAAATTTGATGCGGCCCACTCCCCCGCAGTGTCATAAACACACTGACAAAGAAATAAACAATATCTGGTGACCCCTGAGAAAGTCAAACGTTAAGAGCCACAACAAAAAAGCAGAAACACTGCAGCTCTCACCCCTCTGCCCTGTTCTTTGACTATCGGGAGAACATCACGAAGGAGTAGCCGAATTCCACACTCACCTTCCTTGGACGCTTGCCAGAATTCAAATGCTACTTTGAACGCCTGAGCAACTGTGAGTGTGACGGCTTGGGCCTGGATGGGAAGGGGGGGCGGAAAAGCAGATACAACAGCAATTATAATGGTGCACTGATAGGCAGTTCCTTGTGTAGGTTTCAATCCTGCGAAGGAGAGATGTTAAACCAGGAACCTCATTCCTCCTTCTACAGCTCTGGAAGTCCCACATCAGTTAAGACTTAATGCGATCGCGATGCTGGCAGCTTGGCTACTGAGACAAAGAGGCAGCTGCAGAAATCCTTGGGTAAATTCACACAATTATTTGGAAGGCTTGTCTTTTCCTCCTTTCTCTGAAGAAAAAGAGGGGAGTTCATGGAGGATAATCTCAATTGCTCTACATGTAGCAGGTTGTTCATTAAAAAAAAAATCTCGCCCCCTTCCTTTTTTTAAACATAAGCCAGCATGATGACGTGGTTAAATTAGGACTGATACCAATCTGAAGGAAACCACTTGGTTCTAGTCTGTAACTCTCAGTTCAACCTACCTGAGAGGTCCCCCAAAAATGGAAGGAGGGTTGTAAATGTAGTAAATAATGGTTTGGACAAGTAAACCTGTTGAGGAAAATGTCCAACGGGCAATTGTGGTAGTATGGATGTACAACAGTTGGAGTTTTGCTCCCTTTTATAATACATTCTGTTTCTTTCATTAGTCTTTACATAAGTTCATCCAGTTAAACATTTTTTATTAGTTGGCCTAAAGATTAAATGGACACAATTAAAATGAACAGTTCCATAGCTCTCATTTCTTAAGTACTACGCAGCTCCTTCTGTCCGCCTTTATGCCACATTAACTCCAACTGCGACATGGTTGCATCACAACTCAGAGAGATCTTCATGCAAGGAATATTTTACTAACATCTGATCAGAGTTCAACTTTCTCCTCTGCTATAAAGCGCTTAACTAAGCTTGCTCAGTTCCCTTGTTCTTAAGTCCTGCAACAGCCTGGGCTGGCTTCAGTCTTTCACTGTTTACTCATGGCAGGGAAGGGGCAACCTGTGGTTACTGAGCTGGTTTTGTGCTTTCCAAAGCCCCCTCCTGCAGGATCAGACAGCTAAAATTCAACAGCAAATTCCTGGACAGCATTGGTGTAATTTCTGGTGGGAAAGGAAAGAAATAACAGAACATTGGGAAAACTGAAAACAAAGAAAAAATGGACAGGGAGAGATGCATTCTGAAAAGGAAAAGGCCACCCAAGTACAGTGTGGGGTGAGGGAAATGAGGAGTGCAACATCAGAGAACTTCTTCAACCCTACCAGCACTGTTCCCTTGATCCATATTTCTTTCTGCCTCATGTCTTTTAGGTCTTCAAGCTGAATTTCCCCCACCATAAATACATACACAGTGGTCTCTCTTTCTAGACAGAGATAAATATACACATAAGGGTCCTTTCCACCAGGAATAACCTTGTTCATATCTTTTACACCTGAGAGAGCAGGTTTATGACTTGGGGAACCTCCTGGATTCATGACAAGTGGAGCCCATGGCTGGGAGGGTCTTTGCCCAGTTGCAGTTGGCGTGCCAGTCGTTGCCCTTCCTGAAACAGGAGGACTGGGCCATACTGATTCCATGCCCTCATCACCATGCAATTTAGGCTTCCACATGGGGCTGCCCTCAAAGATTACTTGGAAATTGCTGTTGATCCAAAATGCAGTGACCTACTTGATGACTGACATGATATTATGCCTAACCTGGGGGCTTTGCTTTGGCTACCAATAAGATTCCAGGTGCAACTCAAAGTGAGCTTTGACTTATAAAGTCCTATATGGCTGGGCACCTAGGTACTTGCAAGACCACCTACTCCAAACAGATTTGACCCATTCAAGGAGGTCCTCCCAGGAGAAGCTAGTCATGGTATCTTACTTCCATGAGATAAGAAGGGCTGAAGTTAAAAAGTAATTGCATCTTTACCATGGAGCCTGTGTTATGGAACAGCCTCCCTCTAGAAGTTAGATTGATCCACTTTGTGATGGCCTTCTGAAAGCTTTTAAAGACAGCTCTTCCAGAGGCCTTTAGGGAACAACTGCTATTTTTACTCAGATGTTAGATATTATTGGTTTGCCCTTGTAGTATACTGTATTCCACTACTTTTCTTTACTGTGCAGTTTTATTGTGCTTCAGTAAGTTGTTATAAGCCATTGTCAGTCTAGAAAATACTGAATACAAATTTCTGAAACGAAAGGAAATTAATTCTCTTGGTTCGTGTGTTGCAAAGTGTTACCTGGCATTGTCCTGGGTTCTACTACCTTACACATCCAGCATACTAAGCTACTCCATAATTTCTGATTCAAAGGTTCTTCCCCAGATAAGCTCTTCCATATGGCCTAAAGTGTTAAAAAGAGCCTTTTTTTCCTATGAAATGAGGCAAAACCTAAAATATTTTGCAAATAAGCTCTGGAACCTCTATTTGGCCTAGTCCAGGTCATTTTTTTGAAAATACTTTTTTTTTTTGATATCACTATCTTCTTTCCTTCTCTTCTTACCTCTATTAATACCTCGTCATAGATTTGGAGCGTGGAGTCTAGTTATACATATGTGTGTGTGGCCAACCATGGATTACTTCCATGTGTTCAGGTTTATGGGTTCAGGTTGAACCCTCCTAGTGGTGACTGGGGAGTTAGCCCCTCCTAATAGAATCCTTCCAAATGTTGGGGTTCCCTTGCTCCCTAAATGGGTGGAGGTATGGAAACATGGCAACCAAATATAAATCCCATTCACAGGGCAACTAGTACTTCAAAATATCCAGAAAGCGGCGCCCATTTTTATCTACACATCTAGTTAGCTTAGAAGGCCTTTTGAGATAAAGGTCGATCAAAGACTCTAGTCAACTTCTAAAAGAAAACGTGTTGGCACAGGACTAAGATTACAGTTTCTTCTTCCCCCATATATTTCTAGCTAGGAAGCATGGGTCAGCAGCATTTAGTTCCAAAGCTGCAAATTGCTGATCAATAGATGCAGTGCAAAAATCAATTTGAGATTCCACAATTCTGGAATAAACGTTGTGGCACAGAAAGGCCCAGCAATTAAGGAAATAATCAAACAAAGAGTGGCAACATTCATGCTTTCTGCAAAGCCACAACATGGTGTGTTTGCCTTTAGTTCAGCTTGTTTTATTGAAAGAAGCCACCATAGCTTGAAAGCTGTGGTTTGTTTAACCTGCTGTGCAAGCAAACCCAGAACTTGTTCTTCATTTCAGATTTTAACTTGTTAGGAAAGAAAAGCCAAGAATCCTGGTCTAGGTCAAATGCTAAATGAATCACATATTTTCCTTTTTTTTTTTTAGGGGGAGGAACCAAATGAAAGCAATATAGCATCACACAATTGTGTACTTGGATAATAGGTACCAGGCAGAACTCAGAAAAATTATGGCTTATCAAGACATTTGAACAAGAACTATAATTCACCCTAAGATAGGAGCTCTCTCTAAGAAAGTTATGACAAATAAATAGATAGGTAGAGAATTTTACACACACACACACACACATTTTGTTTTCTTATAAATTAATGGATGCAATAAACCAACCCCAAAATCCAGTTGTGTGATGCTCATGAGAAGCTTGAATTTAGCTTCCTTCCAATCTGTAAAACCTCCCACCTGTTATCTAGCAGACATGCTGGACAAACCAGAGGGGAGAGGCTATTTCAACAGAGGCAAACTTTGTACCTGTGCCAGTGTGACGTGAAAGGAAGAAGAGATTTTGTCAGAGCCATTTAAATCTTTGGTGGAAGAGCAAAGCACTTTTTTATGATGGGGGGAAAAAAACACCATCTCCTTAAATATGGTAATTAAGTATGAAACTCTTCACAGCTGTTTACAATTTCAGCTGTCACTTTCAAATCAAGTTTAATAGACCCAGATAATGTTGTGAATTGCCCAGGCGCTAAAAATACAGAGTAATTATATGGCGGAGATGTGAAAAATAGACATGCAGAGTCCACGCCCCGAAGACGTGCACCCTCTCCTCATATTTCCATAATGTCAAATTAGCATGCCTTTTTTTGTCTGGGGGGAAAAAAAAAGGAGAGGAAAGACACCTTTTGCAGCGAAAGTTTTCAAGGACATTTGAAAGCCGTGCTGAAACCACAAGTAGCAGGGAGGAGGATTTTCGTCCTTTTGCAAGTGCGGTGGGGGGTTGATCCCATAAGCAAATCAGAGGAAACCTAACCCCCTCCAAATGAACATCCTTGTATTGATGGGGAAATGTTAGGGTGGAAGGATCTGGGAAGACTGATGATTTTCAACCTTTCCCGCCCCTAGAGAAGGCCAGTGAACAACATTATAGGCTGAACTGGGAAAGAGAAATGGGGGCTCCTTGCCCAGATGGATCTTGAGCTGAGCTGGAAAAATATTCAGGGTATGCAGAAGAAAAGCTTCTGCAATAAACACCCTGGTGTTAGTGTGAAGCCTGGTCCAAGAGATCTTCTTTTTGCTTCCTCTTCCTCCCACCTCGCCATTTATCTCTGGAGGGATCCTCAGCCATTGAGGTTGCCCCCAAATACCAGGCTGACTGCTTTTCAGATGTAGCAGTTACAGCAGGAAAGCAGCTGACGGAGCTGTCAGAAATAGCCCCCAACAGTGTAGTCTAGACCAGTGTTTCTTAACCTTGGGAGCTTTCAGATGGGTGGGCTGC